ATGCATCTCTTCAACTGATGGGAGAAAACGATTAATAAGATTATTCTATGTTGAAATACGTTTGATAAAATCAATATACACCCATTTCTGATTAAAAATCCAAAACCAAAACCAAAAATGCCTTTAATGTCTTAAAAGCATTCCTTTAGGAGTAGAAGCTTTCTTCCTTATTGTGATGGAGGTGAAACCCAACTGTCTTGTGAGCTGACAGCCACTCTTGTTCCTGGGGTCCAGGTTCCTCGCCCTCCCTGGAAGTCCACCTCCTCCCCCTCTCTCCTTCCTCTGCTTCTCCAACTGGGAATGGGTGTGCAGGTCAGAGGCCACCTTTTCAAGGGGGCTTAAAGACTCACGTCTGCAACTTGTAGGCTTGTGCTCCCAGGATTCATTCACGCTGGGGACTCCCGCCGCTGATGCACTTCTGGGTCACCAGCAAGCTCTTTCTGGGATTTATCCTGGCTCCCTTTGGGCATAAGCCATCCAGGGAGAGCCCAGAATGTTTCCCCCTGCAGACATGTGCCACCGAATAATATTACAATCTGGAATAGATGAAGAACGGTGAACAAAATGTTTTGACCACTGCTCAACATGCCCACCCACCCCAGCCCCACCCCCAGCTCTTTGTGTGCATATCTACACAATGGAAGGAGTCCCCACTTTAAAAAGGAGGGAGATTCTGAAATATGCTACCACATGGAAGAACCTTGAGGATATCACGCTGAGCGAAATAAGCCAGTCACCAAAAGGCAAATAGTGTACGATGCTACTCACACGATGTTCCTAGAATAATCCAGTCTACAGAGATGGAGAGTAGAAGGGTGGTTGCCGGCTGGGCAGATGGGGAAATGGGGAGTTGCTGTTTAATGGGTACAGAGTTGCAGTTTTGCCAGATGGGAATATTGTGGAGATTAGTTGCACAAAAATGTGAATACACTTAACATTACTGAACTGTGCACTTAGAAATGGTTAAGATGGTTAATGTTATGGTATTTTTTTTTGTTTTTGTTTTTTTAACATAATTAAACACACACCTTGCTGCTGCTGCTGCTACAATGACTATTACTACTGCTACTTGGGACTGCTACTACTTGCTACTACTACTACTACTACTACTACTACTACTACTACTGGTACTACTATTTGGGACATGGGAGTCGAGTAGGAGTTTGAGCCTCAGAGTGAAGTAGAGTAAAGCTGTCCAGAGTCACAAATTAGGCAGGCCGGTCCTCAGACCCAGATTCTGGATCCAAACCAGTCCTTTGTCCTAAGCAGCCCGGACTCAGCAGCATGCCTGCCGCTCGATGTCCAAATTCCATCAGGCGAAGGGCTGCCTACCTACAGCAGAGGGGAAATTCCACTTTGACCCCTTCCATTGGCTGGTTAAGCATTGTGAGAGCCCCCGCCTTGACAGCCTCTCCAGGGGCACCTCGGTCACCTCTCCGAAGGTTTCCCTTGTGGCCTGACTATTGTTGAGCCTCAATCTCTGATATCTGCCTCTGGTGCTTTGTGGTGCCCTTTTAGACCTCTGACAGCCACCAGGCAGGAACTCACAGTCCAGTAGTTGAACACCAGCCTGAAAACCGGAGGTCACATGTTACTCCAAATAGTCTGACCTGCTCACTCCTGGCTCATAGCCCTGAGCAGATTGCTGCACGGTGGCTCTGGGGTCTGCGGTGTCCGGCTGTTGGGCCATTGCTTCTTGTGTCTCTCACGGCTGGTGGAGAGAGAGAAAACCAGTGCACGGCTGCTCAAACAAGACCCTTCCTTTTCTTCTTTTCAAGCCCTGGAACACCTGCTAGCCTATTTTCCTATTTTCTCATTTTCTAAGCCATCTTCAGTTTATAATGAGTTTAAAGTTATTAAGAAGAGATATGGAGTCCCAACTGTTGAAGCTCAATGAGAGCACAGAGCTGCTGCATTTACAGTGAGCTGGAGAAAAATGCAGCCTCTCTCCAAAGAATAGGGCAGAGCTGCTTTTGAATGCTCTCTTGCTACATTGACCATAATGAGTTTTCTTTTCAAAAAGATAAGGCCCAGTTTTCAAGGGGAAGCTTAATATGCCACAGGCATGGGGAGCCAGCTGATTCGGGCCGCCTCAACGCCAGGTCCAAATTTAGCAGCAGGTAAGTAAGTGGTGGGTCTTTTCCTTTCTCTGTTAAGTCACTCCCCTTTAAAGGCAGCACCTGCTCACCCTGGCAGGTGAAAGCCCTGGAAAGTCTGCGGCACTGGCCAGCACTCCCACACCAAGGACTCCAGCCCTTTCTGTCCCAGCCCACCTTTCCAGAGTGAGGCTGGCATGGACAGAAGAGCCACATTTAGATCCTGTCACATTCCTTGTTTGCCTATGAGTGAAAGGCAAGTGGACAGGGACATGGTCAATGAGAGACAAGAAGCCAATGACATAAATCCAGTTTTCCCGTTGATTGTGGTTTAGCATGACTTGGGGCCTCGCTCCTAGATAATGGTTAGGGTTGGGCTGGGGGTCAAAGCATCAGTGGGTTTTAAATTTTCCTCAGGTCATTCTAATCTGCAGCTGTGATCGTTAGCCACGGGTCCTGATGACCTTCAAAGTGGAGACTGGCACTTCGAAAATCCTTGGCTCATCCTCTTTAGTATACTGCGTTGATGTCTCAGAATTTGTCTACAGAGAACAAAGAGAATATGGTCAAAGCCACGCATACATTTTGGGAAACGTGGAATACCAGGGAAAGTTTGAACGAAGGCCTCTAGGTATTGTGTGGGAAGAGGGGAGTTTGGACATTTTCGTATCTGAGCTCTCTCCTACCCCCAAATCCACCCTCAGTTTGTTCTCTGTATTTAAGAGTCTCTTGTGGTTTGCCTCCTTCCATTTCTGTTTCGTCCACTTCCCTTCCATCATGGTTTTCTGTTCAGTGTCTCAATATCCACCTATGAGTGAAAACATATGATATCTGTTCTCTGACTTATTTCACTCAGCATAATACCTTCTAGTTCCATCCACATTGTCGCAAATGGCAGGATTTCATTCTTTCTCATTGCCAAGTAGTATTCCATTGCATATATAAACCACATCTTCTTTATCTATTCATCAGTTGATGGGCACAGCCACTCTGGAAAACAGTGTAGGGGTTCTTCAAAAAATTAAAAATAGAATTTATCCAAAGGATACAGGAGTGCTGAACCAGAGGAGCACATGTACTCCAGTGTTTATAGCAGCGCTATCAACTATAGCTAAGTTATGAAGGACTCCCTTCCATATAAGCATTGCACAGTGGCTGGCTGGTAATGTGGAGAGCCACAATTCACTGTTGGCCTCGAGCAAGGCATTTCAGCCCTCTGGCCCTCAGTGTATCAATCCATAGAGTCACGGTGTTAATTCATGGTTAGGGCCTAGAATTTTGCAATTTGAAGAAAAACATGGCTGGATGGATTCCATTCAAATGGGATCTCAGAATACTGCTCACTTTATGTTTTCAGTCACCTGAAATGATGGAAAGTGGCTGGAAGGTTAGAAAACCCAAGGGACCAGTAGGCATGCTTCCTGGGAGTGGCTTGATCAATGTCATCTGGTACAGCTGGTGCCCTCAGAGTTCTAGGAAGGCCTGGACAGGTGTTACCTAAATGGGGAGAGAAATGTTGACCCCTTTCCTTTGAAGTATTTCAGAGGGCTTGTGTAAATCATTCCCAAATTCCAGGTGCTACCAAAGGTTTGGACAGGAACTCAGTGCTGGGGTAGACAATAGCTCAGAAGTCAGGGGAGTGGGCTATTAAGCCTATAAATCTCATCCAAAGATGATGAAAACTTTTCTTTTTTTTTTTGTTAGAGAACTCTGTAGCTACATCCACGGGAGCAGAAATGAGGTGAAGCCAATGATGAGGACGGTGTGGACTTTAAGGTAAAGCGATGTTATTCTTGGGAGTGTGGGCCCGACCAGGACAGTGTGGGGAGATGTGGAGACTGGGCTGCCCCAGAATGCCACACACCGAGACCCACCGTGAGCCACGTTACATGCAGCCCACAGGCTTTGACAGATTGACAGAGCCATATGGAAACAGACCATTGGTTACCTTTTCAAATTAATCAAAAAATTTCCTTATAACAAAGGATTATCCTATATACCTTCATCTCATCTATCTAAACTAAACTTTATTAATACACAGCCACCTTCCTCCTTCCCTCCTGCCACGTACTTCTTTGGGGTTGGGGTAACGACCAGTGTGCATCAGATGGGGCCTCAGCTGGTCCACCGGTCACCGAGTTGCTGTGGCTTGAATCTGGTGTGAGGCTGTTATGAGAGCAAAGTCCAGAACTTCCATCCGGAGCCTCCACCTTCAAGGACTCACTTCTGCAGGGGGAGCAAGTGCCAGGGAGTCACACATGGAGACCTTTTGCCCTCTGCGCGGGGAACACCCCTTCTGTGCTGGTTTTCCTGAGGGTGTAGCCATCCACACCTCTGCTATTTGCTACGGTCGGCTCTATGCTAATTAGACATGCGAACACGCCAACCTTAGTATGGTGATGGTGGTAAGTGTGGGGACCCTAATTCAGGAGGCACATCATATGCCCATGTTGATCTGGCTGTGGCCTCAAAATCACGAGTCACATACTGTAACACTAATAAGTGGGGAGGAGGCAACATTTCTTGGGCCCCCACTATGTATCTCACAGAGCCTCACACACAACCGCACATAACTCTACAACCCTGCGACATAAGCAATACAACCCTCATTTTACACATGGTCGACTAAGGTTCAGAGAGTGGAGAACTTCGCCCAGAGTTGCGTAACTGACTTGAGACATCCTTTCTCGATGTCCCAGGACATCAGCTTCAACCACTGATCGTCCCCCCCACAATGTCCCTTTCTAGGGCATCCCTACCCACTAACACATCCAAATGTCCTTAATCATTATATTCTATCCAGAAAAGGCAGTTCCAAATAAAGGGTGAGGAGTCAAGTCTCTCTTAGTCAAGGAGAAAGTCTGTTAACCGGTCACAGCCAGAAAGAAAACGTGGACACGACGCTCATCGCTTATATACAGCTTTATTTGCAGTTTGTGGGAACCACTGAGAGCAATCAGCAGGTGCACATGTGGCCTGTGGGACAGCGTTCGGCTGTGGGGCTCCTTCCCACCGGGTTGCTGAGGAACTTGACCGGGTAGACCCGGGGTGGGCTCACACCCAGTGCTGCCCCGCGCTGAGCGCTGCGCTGAAGGTTCGCAAGGCCCGGTGCGTCCCCCGCACGGCCAGGAGGAGCGACCCAGCTTCGGCCCTGTGGCCAGCCTCCCGCAGCTGTCTGGCCAGTCCCTCCGCATCCCAGGGCCCCTGCTGCGGGCTGGCCAAGAGGTGCTCGATCATTCGTGGGTAGAAGGGGGTGGAGACGCACTTTACCAGCAGCCTGGCGTCCAGGAGCAAGGAAAGAAGTTCTTGGTCACAGTTGGAGTCATTCACCTTCAAGAAATGAGACAAGCAGAATGTGAGACGGGCCCTGCTCACTCCTTGCCGGCGACCTCATCATACCCCGTCCCCCCCCTCCCCCCCCCGGCTGCTGCACACCGCCTTTCCCTCCGCTTTTGTCATCCCACACCCTTCACCTGGGCTAATGGCGCTCATGCCAAAGAGCGCACACGGGCGTGTGAGGCTGGGGTCACACACACACGGGATCACAGACACGGTTCTGAGCAGATACAGCCACCTGCCAAGCGCCCCGAGCCGCTGCCACGGCGACCAGACACCGAGGGCCAGAAACTGCCAGGCATGTCCCCATCGACCCCGGGGGTCATGGACTCGGAAAATGAGATGTAAGAGTGTTGGTTCGCATTGTGGCAGGTCACTGAGCCAGGCCGGATGCTGCATTCAGGCCAGTCTCGACTCCAGAGCCCGGGCTTTCAACGACCACAACTACCATCTCACTGGTGCTTCACCACTGCCCACGTTCTTTAACCCCAAACCTCTGCTGTACACAGATGCACATGAAAAGAAATTCTTTCTGGAACAGGAAACCCTTTTATCTACTCCTCTGAGAACATATATCCAACAACCCCAGTGATGTAAATAGGACAACGGACAGGAAGGCTTTAGGTCGTTCTTGCTTAAGCTTCTAGAAAGCTCAGTACCAAACTTACCTCTTTAAGGCATTTTTATATAACCCTGGAGACCAATGTTAGGTGGCCTGTTTTATAGGCTCTTTCAGCCTGCATATCCTCTGTTTCCTCCCTGGTCTTATCTGCTTATTCTCTGTATGGTTTTCCACAGGTTTGACACTTAGCACATGCTTTTCTATTTTCTATTATTGTCCATATTTTTTTGTAGGCAATCAAGTCAACACTAATCACACATCAAAAGCCCGAGCTCCTCATTTACATGGGGGTGTCATAAAACAGCTTCAGGACAGTCCTTCCTAATGTCACTGCACATTTTCAGTAACTTTGGTTGTTGTAGCGACCACAGAAATAATGTGGCATTTCAGAGCCAACTAACTAATGCTTGGTCCAACGATGTTATCCCCTGCTCTGTCACCAGGAGGAAAGGCTACTGAAGGTGAGGTCAACTGTTTCTCCCGACTTCAAGTATTAAAGCAAGAGCATTTCTGAGGATGAGAATCACTGCCCCGTGTCCAAGAGCGTCTATCTTTCCTGCAACTCAGCGACCCTTTAAAACCAACGGAAACGTCACCTCCAAGGCCATCTTCTGGGTGACATTTTCCCTACATCTCTCGGCCAAGCTGATCCTTCCTTATATGCGCTCCTCCCGCGGGAGGAAGTCGTAGGTCTGTCTCCCTTGCCAGACTGGGGGCTTGTTGAGGGCACAGAGGCCTCATCGTCCTTCTATTCCAGCATCCAGTTTAATCAACTTTTTTTATACGGCTGGAGGTGCCCACATCATTGAACGCTGTCACACTGTTGTCCATGGTGCACGTACGTGCTGAGTGCTCTCCCGGCAGGGGGTCTGAACAGAGCCGGATTCTAGAACTGAAGAGCCTCTTGCAAACCCTGGGCCTCTCGCTTTTGTCAACACAAGCACATGCAGCTCACCCACTTGGGGCTCAGGAAGACACTTAGGCTGAACTCAATTTAGCATCTCGTGCTGGGTGTTGTTTGTAGAGGCGAGGTGGTGGGAAAGGAAAGGGACATGGAAGACCAGCTTTTCTGCTGCAGGGGCACGAGCATCTCCAGCGGGGTCTGCTTGGGGGTTCTGTGTCTCTTCTTTCCTCCCAGCTTCCCTCCCTCTTCTTCTTCGTAGCGAGGAAACAGGAGTCTTGGCTCCATGTGAGTACTGCCCCCACTGGCACCGTGTCTGCCATTTGCTGAGGGCCATCCATGTGCCAGCGAGCACAACCTTAAAGCATCCTCGTAAGACAGTTACAATCTCATTTGATGGATGAAGAAACCGGTCCAGTGAGGTCAAAGTCATGTGCCCAATGTCATGCAGGTGCTGAATGGTGAGCTGGGAGAGAAGCCCTCATCCCTCACTAGGTTACTTGCCTATTATTTTTTCACCTCCAGAGCAACGGTCTCGCCTTCCTTGTTTACCCCTGCATCCCCCGTGGCCAGAACAGTGTTGGCCACAAGCTAGGGGCTCGGCAAGGCTTGTGGGACGAATCCACGAATGAGTAGCCCCAAAGTGCTCATCCTTTCCCTGAGCACTGACGCCTCCCTGTGCGTCTGCGCACACACACACAGGACATCTGAGTTACTGTGCGTTTAATTTTTTGGTTCACCCTTAACAACAAAGAATCCCTGCACTTAGCCCTCTAGGAGGGAACAAATGTGTGCCAGGATGCTACAGGCAAATGTTTGATAAAATACCCAGATAACAGTCTCAAATCCAAATACTGCAGGGCAAAACTTTCTTCACTGCCCTGAATAAGTCTTCAAGGCTAGGACACCTTTATTATTCTTTCTGTTTACTCACAAGCCTTCCCTTTGGGGGCTTGAGAGATTTCCTAGGAAGGGAGTGATGGATTTTTTCAGCTGGAGGAAGAGAGGCGTTCTGTCAATGCCCACAGCTGCTGCTGCTCATACTCCTCTCTTCTGTTTGCTTCTCTCTGCCGCACTGACATCCTCAGAATCGGTTTCCTACTGGATGTGTCCAGCCTTTCAGATGGCTGCTCTGGCCTGGCCAGGTGGTGGGGGGTGGTCAGTGGCAGGCGGCCAGGGACAGGGCAGGTGCTAACCGTCTCAAAGCTCTTGGTCTACTCCCTTGGCTAAGAAAGCAGAAGACAAGGACGCCTGGGTTGTTCTGTCGGTTAAGCATTGGCCTTCGGCTAAGGTCAGGATCTCATGGTTCCTGATTTCGAGGCTCGTATTGGCTCACTGTGTTCCCAGTGCAGAGCCTGCTTCAGATCCTCTGCCTCACTCTCCCTCTGCCCCCCCCTCACTCATGCTCTCTCTTTCAAATATAAATAATAAAACGTTAAGAAAAAGAAAGAAAGAAGAAAGGAAAGCAAGCAAGCAAGCCTAAGGCAGAAGTCCAGGAAATGAAATACAAAGTTTCCCCTTGGGCCCTGGCCCCCTCAGAGGTTGCTGACCTGCACTGGGCTTCCGAGGTGGCGGCCAGGCCAAGGCCTGGGGGGGAAATTCTAGTTTAGCTTCTCGTAACCAGGTCCTAAGAAAATGGAAGTGTTTTATGTCCTTTCTTTGACCCTGCACCTGGCTCTGGCTCTTTGCCAAAGGTACAGAATGGGGAGAGCATGCTGTAGAATTGTCACACACAACAGAAAATACTGTGGAGACATGTGTACTGTGCAGATTTGGGACAAAATAAAGAATACGGAAAGATAGATGGCCTTTGGGAGGACTCATTCCAACAGCTGCGTCTTCAAGAAGAGGAGCTCAAGGGTCAGAGAAGAAATGGACTGGCCAAGGTCACACACCAAGCACTCTGGCCCCCGGGGCACCAAGGCCAGACTGAGTCGCTGTTCTCAGTCCATCAGAGTGCCCCGCGGCGCCCCAGACCTTCCCAAGCGTGCCAGCCACACTGCCGAGCTGCCAGCTTAACGTGCTGAGCCTCAACTTTTCTTCATTTTTCTTGATTTTGACTGAAATTCTAACTTAAAATATTGCAAGCCCGGTCGTCACCCATCAAGCATTCTAGCCTGGTGTATTTTCCTCTTTGAAATTAAAAAAAAAAAAAAAAAAAAAGGGGTGGAAGTAGTTTGAAAAAACAAATCCTCTCCATGTGGATCCCACAAGGAAATTACTTTCCCCTCCAGTAATTCTCCACGTGCAGAGACTGTGGGTCTCCTTCACTCGCAATGTTAAAAGATTTATAAGTGCTTCTACATAATTTTCATTCTTAAAGACTGTAATGGCTACAAAATAGTCTATTGAATGGAGATGACAGTTCTATAGCTTTTCCTGCTATGGATATTTCAGCTGTTTTTAAATGTCTGAAATTTCTGAAATACTACAAATGAATTTTTTTATGTATATGCTTTCTTTGAGTTCTAGAACTTAAATTATTGACCCTGATTTTAGTTATAATACAAATTCTAATCTGTTCACAGTTCTGTTTTTATTATTTGTTTTACGGAAGTTTTAACATTTTTATGATGTCAGGAAAAGAACTGTTCCTTTATGATTTTTTTTCTATTGCTTTAAATACTAAAGGTTTTAGAATTCCTCAAAGGATCTCAGACACACACTCTTTTCTGACTTTTAAAGATATGTAACTTTTTAATTGATCAAGAATTATTTTGGTATATAGTCTGTGGAAAATCACACATCCCTGACATTTGCTTGATTGGTGCTTTTAGGGTTTGAGGAAAAAAAAATACATTCTGTCATTTTTGGACTCAGCTGGATGTTTGAAATAAATATGAGACAAGTCCAGGAGGGTCAGTTGATTTAATTCCTCTGATCAAATAACTCTGAATTCGAGTCAGAGGCAGGCTGGTCTTGGGAAAAAAAGACAGACTTTGGGCCAGAGACCAATTTCCAGTCCTGGTTTCTTTGCTGGACAGCTGTGCGACCTTGTTAAGGACAATCTCTCCGGGCCCCAGATCCCATATCTGAAAAACAGACAATCTCTGTGGGTTGCGATAATCTATGCCGTTATGTGCTCAGTACAATGCCTGGTGCAGAGTTCAGGTTCAGTAAATGGCCAAAGTTGTTAGAGTCAAACAAACCAGGCATGAAGCATGTTCCAGAAGGGGAGGGTACCCGACTATCATAAAATGAGTAAATGCTCATTTTATGCCATCTCAGTCACTGATTATTTCTTCTGTCAGTAATTAATTTTTGAGAATAAAAGAAACGTTGCAGATCTTGGGAAATAAATCTATTAAAGCACCAAGTGCTACTGTCTTCCAAGCCATTAAAATGTTATCTTCTTAATTCCGGTTTCAACAACAGGTAATGAACCTTTTCTGAATTAAAATCTCTGATTTTATGGATCTATACAAAACTAAGAGTAATTATAGTAATGAGCTAAACTGAAATTCGGTAGTG